AATGTTCATCGTCTGAATATGGCACAAAAGAGCGACGCTGCAATAGTTAGACTATGAAGAATTTACGTACTTTAAATATTTTTTACATAAAGACTGAAAAATATATAATACATACCAATGAAGTTATATAATTTTGTGACATCGAAAATTTGCTAAATCCATATGTTTTACATTGTGGATAGCAAAGCCAAATCATTGTTCTTAGTGCCACATGTTTATTGTTTATATTTGAATGTCACAGCATGATAAGCAAACAATTGCTTATGTTATTTATTTATGCGCTTTAATTTAGTTAATTCGTATTAATTTATTTTTTTATACTTCAACAAATAGTTTCTTTTGGCATCGCTATTGCTCTTATTGTATCTATAATAAATAATAATACGCATATAATAAGTTCAGGTATAATAAAATAACACAAGAACAAAAATATCGGACTTAGGTACTAAAAATGACATGATAAAATATAATGAAATACATAATAATATTTCGAAGGTTAGTATAACCAATAAATATTTAGTTATTACACAGGTAGCAACTGTTACACATTGTATCCAATGTTTCAATAAAAGACTAAAATGGTCTTCGGGACTATAAAAATGTTACATTTCAAATAGAGATTTAAATTGAGATTTTACTTAATACATAATAATTAATTAATAATCATTTAATACTTATTACTTGTGAACATATACTTTTGTAAGAATAAATTACGATGCTATATTATATTTCAGTTAAACTTTTACAGTTCCGTTAATGTAGGTAAATTGTGGATGTGATGACGTTTATAATCAAACATACGATATAGCCAAGGTTACAGTAGTCGTCATAGTCTCTTGGTCCGTGGCAATTTGTAAATTGTAACAATAAATTCTCAATGTCAATGGCGTTAGTTACCGCGTTAAATATTATTATTCTATTAATTTGTTAAATTTATTCAAAAACTCTATACCAGTCAGATGCATGTAAAATAAATACTTTAGCATTAAGCAACCTCTTTAGTAGGATTATTGAAAAAATGATTGAATAAATGATGGACATTAAATTAATTGGAATATATAAGTTAATAAGTTAATTTTAACCAATGACAAACAAACCATTTTTTGCGGATGTGTCTACATAATATGTTATGCTATTTTAACATTTTAACAGGATAATCACACGTACACATAGCTTTACAAACGGAAGGCGAATTTGTAAATGCAAGGTTATTTAGCATAAACAGTTCGCAGACGAGCAACGCAAGCAAACGCGGAAATAAATGACACCTCTATTTGTCCGAGATGTGCGAGGACGTACAAGGTGACCGCGCCACGTGTGTTGCGACGGTACTGATCGCAGTAAATGTAATTGATACTATAATAAAACAGTATAGTACATGAAATATTATTTAAAAACAATGACTGTAGCGTATTATGTACGGAATATAGACCCTAAAATAATAACTATTAAATTTTTTGTCCTTTTGGCTGTATGTTTGTCTATTTGTGTGTGCGCGTTTCACGCAAAAAGTAATGAACCGATTTCAACGAAATTTAATGAAGTGATAACTTACTACTCGGGTCACATTTAGGATACCTTTTAATTCAGGAAAATCTATCTTTTCCACGGGAAAACACAATAAGTGGTTTTATCGAGTTGTCCTTAGAAACTTTCCGCTGGCTAAACCTTAAGACATACATGAAAACAATGTAGGTACCTACTAAAAAATTGAAGGTATTAAAAAGGCTAAACCGAAAAGTCTGCAATTATAGTATATGCCTATCTCCTAAGGTACTGTCGCAATAACTATTTTTATTTTTAGACATTAAAATTTAAAAGCAATGTCACGACTGACTAACTTATCAATGTCCAGCCCAAGCCGATGATGATAGACCATCAAAACAAAAATGCCAGCTTTATATATCCATGCTATCATTAAATGCGAAATTAACTCTGTCAGTCGTCTGTCCATCACCTTTTCACGTTTAATCCGCTGGACCGATTTAGAGGAAATTTGGTACGAAAATAGTTTGAGACCGGAAAACATACCTATAACTCCATTTCCGACCTTTTGTATGAAGATGGAATACTATATATAACATTACCGTGGCTATAGGTAATTATTTCAAGGACAGGCCCGAGTTGGAATACTGTATGCATTACATTACCGTGATATTACGTTTGTTTGCATACTATAATACCTATTGATATAAAAAATATATATACAATTAATTTATTGTGATATCTATTTTAATAATATCTATAAGATATATTATGGCGAAGTAGCCAGAATTAGATGAAGAGAAGGCGGTATTTCGTGATAACTAATGATAGTCAATGTTACTTACACATAATTTACTAAGTGACTTCCATCTGCCTTATTAGATACTAGCGACTCACCCTCGCATCGCTCGGGTTTGTCCCTAGCTTGATTCCCCGTACAAACTTTCATCCCTATTATCGCCCATTTAAGGGATGATTTCCGGGATAAAAAAAATATCCTATGTCCTTCTCAGGGTCTTAAACTGTCTTCTTACCAAATTTCATCTAAATCGGTTCAGTAGATCCAGAGATTACAACGTCACAAACTCACAATCTCACAAACTCTACCGCTTTATAATATTATTATAGATTATATTTATGTATTATCTTTATTATTAGTGATAATATAATTGAATGTGATCATAAAAGGTTTACGTGATTTTCTTATAGCAGATCATTTGTTACATACAATTATTTCTCTATTCCAAACGTGATAATTCAACGTATAAAGTATAAACATTAAATTATTACAAAACGGAAAAAATGAAAATGCAACAAAGCTGTAAAAGTAATAGGAATCTTAAAATTGCTCTACGTCAATTTAAGAAATCTATACATATAATAAAATTGTAACTATGCCGAATCTGTACATTAGATATTTTTAGGAAAATCTTATTGAAATAAGCATTACTATCGATACAGAAGCCGAAACTATAGTTTTTAGAATTTTTGTCTGTCTGTCTGTCTTAACAGACAGTTGACAGTTACCGCATCACAGAAAAACCACTGGAGGGATTTTGATGAAATTTGGTATGGTGATAGCTGGTTATCCGGGTCAACATATAGGATACTTTTTATCGCGGGAAAATATCTCATTTCTGAGAAAAAATACAAAAACTGCATTGTAAGAGTATACTAATATGTAAAACCTAATAATTTGGTTTTTGGTCATCTGAACGCGGGCGGGGCCGCAGGCAATACTAGTCATTGATAAAAAGGTGATACTAGTACTTTTTTATCATATATTACGGAATAGACGTAACCTAATTATTACACAATCGTCTTTAATGACAGTTTTGTCTTTTTAGAAAAAAAATAATTAAAAGCTAAAGCAAACAGGCCAACAGACTTTCTACATATAATTCTATATGCTATATATTTTTAATATTGATTTGTTTTATTAGTAATTCTTAAGAGGGTTACGACTTACGAGGCCTTGTTAGTGTAGGTACACAATGTTATGTAGAAGTAACGACGATTGCTTGAATCTAATTATATATAATATACATAGGTATATGTATTATCTATACCTACTAATATGTAATTATATACAATTCTTTCTATGTATGTTTGAAGTTTGAACGATTTACCTTACTAAAATCTATCCAACAGATTTCAATGATTTTTGTTATATTTACGATTCCAGAAAACCTATAGGCTATGTTATATTTGATTTTTTAAATAAAATTTAGAAGAGGGAACAGAAGAGCTACATAATATGTGATGCCGGTCGCGCGGGCAGACACGCGCGAACGCGCATTATTTTACATTATTTTTAACTAAGCCTAGACGTATATATGTATAGTATGTATATAAAAATCGATATTTGTATATGTGTTTCTTATGGACTCTTAAAACGGCTGGAGCAATTTTGATGAAATTTTCAGGCTATCTTCAGATTGGACCAGCGGGTGATCCTGTGAAGTTTGAACGCGGGCGAAGTCGCGAGTACTGCTAGTTTATTTATAATATTGTAATTGACAATCTTCAAAACAATTTACTACAACTCATGATTTCCAATATTTTAGAAGGAAAACGTACCAGTTTTAAACATATCTTTCAATGTTCATGTAAAATTAAATAATAAGGAAATGATGGAATACGTAGACGTAATATAATAAAAGATAATACGACATTGATAAAGATAAAAATCCAGGAAACACCGATAAAACATCAAGTTATACGATTTTTTATGTACAATAATCTATACTAATATTATAAAGAAGTAAAGTTTGTGAATTGTGAGTTTGTGACGTTATAGGGGGTAATCTCTGGATCTACTAAACCGATTTAGATGAAATTTGGTAAGAAGATAGTTTGAAACCCGGGGAAGGTCATAGGATATTTTTTATCCCGGAAATCATCCCTTAAGTAGGTGAAAATGGGTATGAAAGTTTGTATGGAGAATCAACCTAGGGACGAACCCTAGTCGTCGCTAGTATATTATATTCATGGAATAGGTGCATACACTAACGTGTAGGTAATTAATAATTATTGTAATTACGGCTACTTTTTAAAACACCCAATTAATAATAATTGACCATTAGATAGTATGTATAAAAAATAATAAAGTAATGGCAAAATAAGTTTAATCGTTAAATGTTTGTATTAATTATGCCAATACATAGTTCGTTATTGTGAACACTTAAATGATAATATTATGGGTTTCCTTCCATAACTAATTTTTAAGGAAATAATAATAAATATAAAGAGGTCTAACCTCTCATGTAACCTCGTGAACGCGAGGAATCGAACTGTCGGTTATAAGAGTAGCCGTTACGTCATGACCTTAGTGGTTTGCAGTGACGTCGCGTATGCAAACCTAATTAAGCTTCTCTGTACATGTGTAGATGTGCAGTAGCCGGCAAATTATTTGTATAACAGTTAATGTTCCTACAAAAATATAGCTATATAATATGTAACATAAGTTTCCAGTGTATAAGTATATAAAAATATAAATTAAACCTATTACGTACTTCATTCGCGAGGCGCGTGCGGATTGTTGATGATACCTAGAAAGTAAATATGTTGATATATTGTGGTGAATAAAAGAAGGTTTAGGATCAAGGCTCACAGTAAAAAGATTAGCATTGGCAACGCCAACCGAGGATAAGCATCGATGCGGAAGTAGCGGAGCGAGGCCGAGGACACACGGCAATTCACGAATCGAACGCACAAACCTGATGCGGTTGAACTTTTGACCACGGTTATTACAATTAGGGAACCAGCTACATCAGCTCCATTATTAAATAGATGGAATATCGCAGATTGTTCTGAATGCGTCTTGATATTACATAAGTAACAAATTGAAGAGCCGCTATGTGCAAATTATAACGTGACGTATGGTGTTGGCAGTAAAATCATTTTGAAATGATTACGTGGACACTTAACACGTTTTAAATACAAAGAGCAAGATTTTACGCGAGACGATTATGCAACATTCCAAGTGCCATACGTGAGTGGGAGTCGAGCGGGGAACTGAAACCGACGTATGATCTGCAACATGAACGGCGCACGCAATATTAAACCGACAATATTTGGCAACGCAGGTATTGGAAAGCAAAGACATTGGTAGCAGTGCTACGCCGCATAAAGACATTATTCTAACAAGAATTGTATTATAAATCAAACGCGAAACTGTGCCAACTGAGCAACAAACCAATAGCAACACGTTCTACGTCGTTATGCCATGAATATGCAAACAGTAAGGGCAACGTGAATTTATGATTATAATCAGATTGAAGAATAAACGATTACCTATTATGCGGATATGCAAAGGAACATTGAGTAATTTGGTAATGAAAAATGGCTGGGTAATGCTGACCTCTAGCTTTATTGCCCTATGAATTACTAGATGACCAAATGAATTGGCAAGACCTTGACTTCAGGTTGATATAAGCTATGTGACCCTACTTCCTCAAACATCTGCGAGGGTCGTCACTGTCAATTGCATTTAAATTACATCCTTGCTTGTGGGCGACGGTCATTTAATTTTAATACAATCAGTTGATAAGGTTTTATATCAATATCATATATAAAAGAATAATTAAAAAACTTTTAAAGATTTAATTTAATACTCTTAATAATTTGAAATATTTAAATTATTAAAATCTTAAATTAAAAAAATGTAATTTTAAAAATGACGATGACGCTAGAACGGACAAAATTGCGAAACCTTGACAGTTTTAAATTTACGTACTAAACAAAACAACTACACAGACTTAATATTAGTCAGATATTTGAGTCTAAAAATTTATTCTAATCTTTCATCTTAGTATTTATAGTTAAAGATATGTAAAACAATAGTAAAATATCGTCAAAGGACATAGAGTATTTAAATCAAATAGTGACTTTGTTAATATAATATTTACTAGCCCTGACACAAGGCAGATGGATGTGGGTGTGCAAAGCATGCAAAACGCGCGTATATATTTTATGTGTGAGTAATGAGTATATGCAAGACCGTAATGGTACCAGTAAGTCGTCTCACCAGCAGCGGCATCGAGAACGCGACCCGCTTCGCGATCGAGAAAGCATCTACAAAACTCGGTTGAGGCCGCGTTCTACGGTCATCTTATACAAGAGTTGTAAAGCTATGAAAAATATATATATTTCACTCACGTCATAATACATTTTAATAACTGACACGACCTCAGTTACAGGATTAAATCAATGCTATACGCGCCGACAACTACTGTAAGTCGCGAACCTCGAAATCTATCGAGGTTTGGTAACACTTCCGCATGTTGTGTGGTAAAGATCCTAAATTAGCAAATCATTGAAGCAAATATATTCGAGGTTTTTGTTTAAACATTTTTTAAACGCAATGCCATGGAAACTAATAAATATTTTCGCATTTATCGAGTATCTTTCTTATTTAAAAAAGCGTAAGCGTAAGTACTCGTATATTATATAAATATGTAAATGTCATGGTTCGTTATAATTCTTGAATATAAGAAGAGATTATGATATGCATTATTGTATAGGTAGTTTATACAATATTTAAAAATATAAATAAATATTTAATATATATTACACATAGAGAAAATAGAAATAAAAAAATCTGACATTGACTGAAAATTATTGACGTTAAAATAAATACAATATCAGCATCTTGACAATTATTGCGTATTTATTAGTATTTAGCAATTGCCTAGTTAATATAGTACACAACATGAAAAACGGGGTCAAATTTGACATCGTAATGCATTTGACCTACATGACAAATGAGTGACGTTTGAAAAAATTAGTTAGTGTTCACGCCAGTTCGTGGGTTCCGAGTCGTATTATTATATCATTTTATAAAAATATACACATATTATGTATAACCATTAATCACATACATTAAACGTTTTAATAATTATATATTAATAAAATATATATAATATTTTAATAATTTAATCATATTAGAGCGCATTATGAGGAACTACATACATATATTTTAAATGTATTTTCTAAATATGCTAGTTTCTACCCAATAAAATAAACGAGATAAAAGACGGAAGCGTGCTTGGTGCGCTTTCACGGCGATACTCCTGAACTGATCTTGATCAAATTGAGTTAAATATAATTCAAGTTCTGGAAATAGACATTTACTCACTACTAAAACATAAAATATCGTCATATCGTTAGAATATTAAAAACATTTTTATTTAATTATCATAGCGGCCAGTGTCAGTTTCGGGTCACACTACACGATAAGGGGCACAAGGTAAAAGATGGTACATTGAAAGCGGCCTTAAGCCCAATAGCGATCTGCGACCGTGTCGCTTCCTATTGGCGTGGAGGCGACAATGCCAGCACTGCCTCCTACTGTTGCGAAGGTGATAGTTGCATTTAATAGCTTAATATATTAGGTTGGATTATAAAAAAGTAATTATATTATATAATATTTAGAATTTGTCTTTATTGTCCAATGAATCGGAGATAGTAGGTAAATGCTTTTTATTTAAGAATGCGGTCGCGATTATTACAATTTTCATCACCTATTAAACTATTTGTTTACTTTATAAGTGCTGCTTCTTATATTTATGACATGCCTTTTATCTTAATTAGTTATAAAATATTTGTGTAATTATTTACAAATTTGTAAATAAAATAATCGAGATCACTGTGTTAAAAGCGGCAAACCGTAAAGGCGAAAAATGTGACCTCAAATCACTAAACAAGACCAAGGGAGTAGAACAAATGGTTGAATTTTATGGGTCAACCGTCACAGAGCTTTCAGTTGGGAGGCAGAGCGAAGGGTAGGGCCAACGGGGGAGGACCCTGACACAGATCCCAACACGTCGGTGAAGCGCCGTGGAGACCTCGAGATTCGGCTGTTATAATATCATCGATTCCTCCAAACAACATTTCGTGTTATACTTAGAAAGCGCGGAGTGCGTAACTATATCCATTGTCCACGAATAAACATTCTCATTTTCAAAATTACCGCTACTACATAAATTATCTCATTAAGATTTATAGTATGTATAATTATTACATGTCATAATATTATAACAAAGAACTTTCAGTTGGCAATCTAGGCAAAGCCGTTGCTGATGGTGATTGATAACTTTACTTCGATCACCTAAATAATTTTCTATTTAATAAATATATACATATAAATACTTCTTTTGGTAACTGCAGGTACTTGATTTTACTTTACTAGCAGACAAATTTATTAGTTGGAGTGAAAGCAGGTTCTTAGTATAAAAATTGATAAGATCTTAATAATTGCAACTTTTAGCATGATTGATATTATAGTATTAAACAAGAAGGGCAAATATTATTATAAATAGATGTTTTGTGAAATTTACAATCATGATTGTAAGACAAAGAGAAGGCGCTACGCACCGAGCCGAAGAAACGAGGCAATGACGCACTTTCCAACGAGTGCAAAAATTTCACATACATACATTTAATAATTATTAAAAGTATGTGAAATTATAATTATGTAGTTACATTAATAATTTAATGTAATTTAAATAGTTATATAAATTAGAGGAAAAGGTTTTGTTAAAATAAGTCTTTATATCTCTATATTATGTAATTTAGCGATACAATATACCTATACATACGTATTAACACTTTTCAGTTTAAAAACCGGCCCAAAGAATTGACCTAGCCGCGATATTCTGCTTTGTGAACGTGCACCGGTGTTCCTTAGCTAAATTGATACGTTCTTGCGAAATAACCTCGCCCAACTTATTCCTACACAATCAAATTAGACGGCACCGGCCTGGTTTCTAGTTGGTATTGGAGTATAGAAAATTTGAAAGCCAAGTAAATGATGTATGTTTAGCACTGTGTTTCTGGTATGATATACGAATAATTGTAAAAAATTCATAGATGTGTAACTTTTTTATTGAAGTATGGATAATAAAAAATTACCTACGTAAAAAAATAAATATTATGCTAAATAAGCAAGTGAAATGTACTAATTATTGCTTATCGCCGAGTTAGTTAGGTATATTACTGAAATAGAGTTCATAAGTGACCTAGCAGTGAAACTAAGAGCAGTTTAAAAGCTCTTAAAAAACTTCGTTTATTTTTCATTTTAAATGGCACTGAGAGTATTTTCCTATATTAATAAACTCTTGGCTAGTTAACTTAGGCTTTAAATAATAATATATATAAAGATATTACCATATAATATGTACGTCAGTACATAATATATATTGGCACTAGCACATATTTTAACAGAATATTGTTACTATTTATGTATCTTTTATACCATAGTACGTATATGTTGTATAAAAGTTTGTATATTGCATTATAATTATATAAATAAAATGTGGTCGTGTCTTGTGCCTTTGGTGTAACCTTCGAGACAATAGGGTAATGACCTTCTGGAAGCGCATCCCGCAAATCCTTATACATATATTCTGTTGTGTTTGAACCTTTTATATATGAACATAATACATGAATATATATATATATATATATATATATATATATATATATATATATATATATATATACAAAAATGAAGAGTCTCTTGAAATGCTTATTATAAAAAATGTTACTATCTGTAGCTAAGCCCTTATATCTATTGTTATATACCTACATAGTTTTAACAATATCTGTACCTACGTAACGGTGATAGTGTAACTGTGTAAATGGAAAATCAGGTTATCTTATATGTATGTTAGTATAAATACTATACCTACAAAATATTGTAATGTTTCATTAAAGCGTGGCAATTTAAATATAATTGTAAATAATGATGAATAAAGTTAACAATAGGTAAAAATATTATGGAAAGGCACAAACAAAGACTGCATGGTAAGGTGTAGTAAGGGACCTGTATACTTAAGGGAAAGAATTTTAAATTTAGATTTATAACAAAAAGGAGGAGTCCAAAAAAACTTTCGGGAGCTGGCGAGCTCGTTCTCGTTTTGTTACCTGCTACAGACAGATGAATGTGAAACGGTCCTACATGCACATTATAAAAATATAAATAAAGTGTATTTGTTTATAATAAAACAATGAAAAACTTAAGTTATATCCTATATAGAAATGAGGAACATATGAAATAAAATATTTTAGTAAGACGTCAAATAAAAAATAAGCTCTATATTATGGTGATAATTTTTGCCTAGCTTAATAACGGTATTGCAATTTGTAACAAAAATATGTTTTGTAACAAAAATTGAATGAAAACTTATAATGTAAATAAAATAAAATCAACATGTTGGGAATGAACGACAAAATAGTTGGCACAATAGATACAGTGGTAGACGATCGTGGGGTTCACTTTTTAGGGTAACCGTAACGAACGAGGGTGCGGACGAGAAAACATCGGCATTACATTAACGGACCATAAGGGTGCAAGGGGATACTGGAACGACAAAATGGGTATTATTCTGTTAACCGTAGGCAAAAAGTAATAACAACTGTTGTTTTTAATAGGCATGAGTGACACTAGATAATAAGTATTTGTTGTAAAAGTGACTAGATTTCTATGCTGCTCCCTCTACCTGTCATTGACGTTTAGCTTACACAACAAAGAAAGTTATAATGCGTGCGAGGCTAAGTAACTTTCGCTATTTGCAGCGCCACTCTTTACTTGATTGCAAAAATAATTGGTGTTACTATCAGTTTAAGTTGACACTTCATTAATATTGGAAAAAAGTGCAAATACATTATAAGATAACTATCAATAATTTATTTATTAAAAGGTAATATATTATGTATTTATAACAATTTGAAAATATCCTTCAGAAATTAAGAGAATGAAATAAGAGTAGTTCCGTGTTGACACACCAACAAAAATAGCTCACCTCGCTAAGGCCATTATTTTATTATAAAATCCAACTTTCCAAATTGATGGCACCACTTCGTCTACACAAATTCACCAGGATGAAATTACAATAATAGGAAAATACACTAAAGACTGGTTCGTGTATGTGTAATCACGTTTGACAGTTTCACTTCACCACATGGTTGTCGGTACGCGCGAGGCTGCGTGACGGACGTACGACGCGTAGCACGAGCGCGGGGCGACTGCCACTGCCGACTGGTCCGTGGTCGCGGGAGTCGCGTTTTGCTGATTGCTCCTCTCGCAAGAGAGCGGAGTCGCGGGGCCAGCGAGGGCGGAGCGCCTTCTGACTGGTACCCGCGGGACAGCTGCGCCGTGCGCGGACCCTTTCTACTATGAATCCATTGTAACAGTGAAAGCTTATGCATCGTTTGTACGCTCATACTCGACTAAAATATAACGCATCTCCTATAATACAAATATACATTATACAGTTTTTTTAATATACATAGTAAATTTTGTCAAGTGCATGACCTCATTGACCTCGTTTTGTTTACATCCTAATTTCACTTACATCCTGTGAAATGTATTTTAGTCTGAGCCCTGAATTCTTTCACCTGTCGCATTTAAAGAAAGGGTATCGATCAGGGCCACATTTTCGCCCCAAAATAAAGAAAAAAATTATGTCATACGATTTGATCTTTTCTTTACATATTCTGAAAGTAGACTGTGCATGATATGAAAATATATTTATGGGAGAAAAAACAACTACAATTAATACTACCTACTTTTGAGATGCCAAACTTTGGTATAACGTTCAAAATGAGACAATTTCAGTAACATTTCAAGTTTCCTAGGAAAACAAGAGGTTAATGGGTAAATTGAAAAAAAGTATGTACACAATATGATTGTAAAACAATATATGGAATATGTATAATATGTTTCTTACATAACTGATTGACTGAAAAACTTTAATAATTATTACTTAGCTGATAAATGCTTAGGATGTTTCTCAATTCAATCAATAATACTGGCCACATTGATTCTTTTTAATTAAGTCAATGTTTGTGCAAAAACACTTTTAATGACTTTTAATTTTTAAACCCTTGGAGTTAGTGATATTTATTTACATGTAAATGCTTAAACTTGTATTCATCAGTAAGTATAGTTACATAATATATATCCATACAAGTGTATCAACAGTCATACAAGTGTCGATGTAATTATTGAGCTCACTGTTCAGTGCTAATCTTATACATAACTAAAATTCTAACTAAGTCGAATCTGTACATTAAATATTTTTTGGAAAATCTTATTGTAATAGACATTATTATCGATACAGAGGCCGAATCTATAGTTTTTATATTTTTTGTCTGTTTTTCTGTCTGCCTGTGACCGCATAACGGAACCACGGAACCACTGGAGGGATAATGAAATTTGATATAATGATAACTGGTTGTCCGGGTGAACATATAGGATACTTTTTACTGCGGGTTAATATCTCACCTCTGAGAAGCCTATACTAAACGTTAAAACGCAAGTAGGGACGAACCCGAGCGGAGCGAGGATGAGTCCCTAGTAATTTTATAAAAGATTTAAAACATTCTCACCCAATTAGGTAACGCGATAACGAAAATGTTTATATGATTTACATGAAAAAATACCTATTTATATAATTGCATTTATACTCGATTGCGACACTGAGTACTAAACGAAACTTAAAAGCATCTCCTATAAAAAAAGATATATATGTATATTATAAATGCGAAAAAGTATTTATTGGATTATCTTTCTTCGATATGTTTTAGCACAAAGATAGTTAATGGACGAGAGATGTGTTATTAGGCTTCTTTTATTCCAATACATCAAATGATTCTCGTGAAGAATTAGTATATTGCAAGAAGCCATTGAAAGTCTACTATCATATATGTGTACATCTCAATCTTTTTATTTCCAGTAAATTTTATTAAAAAAATGATAAGTATTGCCATAGACTCAGATTCACTAGCGCGCACTTTCCATGATTAACTTTCTTATTTACCTACTATTCGATTTGACCTTTCCTTTCTATAACATTCACTTCAAATACAGGCCATTTTAAGTTGCATATAGCCTTTTAGGGCTTAACTATCAATTTTTGGAAATAATCCTAACAGGGAGGTTCATATAAATTAGGTAAATAATATCGTGGTGGCGAATAAATAAATTATAATACACTAGCATTGCCCGCGGCTCCGCCCGCGTTCAGATGACTGATGATGATGAGATGATGTATAATCTTAATTTAATGAACGTCTTAGGATATTTTTATGGTTTTTCATATTTTTATTCTTTATGTAACATGTAATATTTCATTTAATATTTTCTGAAACAGCCTTCAACTTTCAACCAATCTATACATATAATAAAATTCTAACTCAGTCGAATCTGTACATTAAATCCCATCAAAAACATAAATGTGAAAATGGGAGCCAAGTTCAATATCTATACATATAATAAAATTGTAACTAAGTCAAATCTGTTCATTAAATATTTTTTGGAAAATCTAATTGAAATAGACATTATTATCGATACAGAGTCCGAATCTATAGTTTTTAGAATTTTTGTCTGTCTGTTTGTTACCGCATCACGAGAAAACCACTGGACAGATTTTGATGAAATTTGGTATGATGATAGCTGGTTATCCGGGTCAACATATATATATATATATATATATATATATATATATATATATATATATATATATACTTTTTACCGCGGAAAAATATGTCATTTCTGAGAAAAAATACAAAAACTGCATTGTAAGAGTATACTAATATGTGAAACCTAAGAATTTGGTTTTTGGTCATCTAATCGCGGGCGGAGCCGCGTGCAATTATAGTTAAGAATATGCGTCGTTGTCAACTTCACCGACAAAAGAATTGAGATCTAAATGGGTGCCAAGTTCTATAGATAATCCTGCATTTTTTTCATAAGAACATACAACATTCTAAAATAAATTTAAAACATAATTTCTTGTTCTTTTTTCTGCTACAAAAGTGTTTGCCGTTTAAAAATAGAACTTCTTAAATTTGAACAGTCGAATTGTTTACACAGAGTAGATTTACGATAAATTGAAGTTCAAGATTTGACTTGGCTAGTTTTAAATCTTTTTTTTTCATAATGTTGCGACTGTTCGTTAGTGGATAAGGCGGTATAGGAAAATGTTATTTAATCATCAATCATCATGGAATCTTTTCTCCTGAGAAAGAAATAGTTTTTGCTATTACTATGATTGCTCTTGCTATTATGTTTCAAAAGGCACTAGGTGTTAAGCTATTGCTAAAAAATATAATAATTTAATGCTGAATAAAATATTTTGAATGTGAATTTGCTGTTGTTTTAAAAGGCGCAAGGTGTTAATAAAAAGTAATTTATTTATTTTTACAAATTAAAAAAAAAAATGCTGTTTTCGGATTTTTCTCTTTGTATGCACACGATAACCCATTTGGACACCAAATTTCAACTTTCTAGGTCATCTGGAAGTGGGTTAAGTTTTACTATATGTCCATCAGTCAGTGATAAAAATGCCGATTTTTAAACGTTAATATCTCAGTAACCGTTTGAGCTGTATTTATGAATTCTAGTTAATCTAAGGACATTTAATAAAAGAACCAAATTTCATGAGTTTATGTTAAATAGATTTTGAGTTATTAAGAGTTGAAAAGTGGCTCCAAATGGTTCGTGTCAAATATACACACGGTGCTGCGTCGCCAGTTCCTTTGGCTTGAACTTGGCTGGACACGCTACCGTGTGTCTTTATATTTTTTGGAAAATATTATTGAAATTCTCATTATTATCGATACAAATTCACTGTTTGCCTGTCTGTGACCACATCACGAAAAAACCACTGGACAGATTTTGATGAAAAGTATGGTGATAGCTGGTTACCCGGGTCAACATATAGGATACTTTTTACTGCGGGAAAATATCTCATCTCTGAGAAATCTATACTAAACGTTAAAACTTAACGTTTAGTACAGATTTATATAAAACAAAACATAAATATAATGAAACATTTCAGTTTTAGTTGAAGTCATTCATGTAGACTTTTTAAGAGTTTTGTCTCAAATTTTAAATGTATTAATTTATATTATAAATTTATAAGTAAAAAAAATATTTAGCATTGCAGATTGGAACCTAGTTCTTTCCTATTAATTAAACTCCACGTGATCTATTATATTACAATAATAAGGTATTTATTAAGTTTTTATACTTAATAAATAATTGTAACTGTTACAATAGTAAAAGTGAGGCCTAAATTTATCGAAAATTTGTAAACCTAATAATTTCATAGTAATCTCAGATCGTTGCTTCTCGCTTATAAATAATATAACAAGATATTGAAATCTTAAATAATAAAAATATAATGTAAATAAATATGTAAACGCAACAAATATATTAATCAATAGAGAGACTAGTTTATATGCAACGTAAAATGATTGAAATATGTATAAAAACATGCGAAAAATATTCATGACAAGTGAGGCATCAAATAATAACAAATATGTTAGCAGTTAAAAAATTAATTAAATACTTTTTAAAATTCGCGAATTAAACTCCAAAAAAAAATATTGACAGCGCAGTTAATTAAATATTAGCAGTACCTATGTACATAGGTCTTTAGTGTAATTGATTTTATCCGTTACGTCTGTTATTGACCAGCTTAAAATTCGGGTAAAATATGTAATACTTAGTATGCCAATGTAGACAAAATATGTAAATGCATATAATGTCACATCTATAATAATGATCAGTTCCCAAAGAGTAGTACAAGTTACAAAAGTCAACTCTCAATTGTCGCGTTGTTATACAGCTAGTGAGCTGAGAAAGCTTTGATCACAGCTGGTGAAAACCTTGCCGCGTACCAGGTGTCACGCACGCTTCAATATTCTTATGTTCATACTGCTTTCGAATATGTCAGTCAAAGCTATATATGATGCACTAGAATACAGTTAATTGAGTTCATTGTTACCTACTTCTAAAGATTCGTTGTATAACTGATTTTATTTTTTAAGAACAGGTCAATCTTCTTTAGTGCAGAATACCAGAAAATATATTTTTTTAATTTATACCTCAAAGCTTGTATAGGAATAGTATATGGGCGTAATATTCAAAAAAAGGGCAAAGCCGGAGTAAGTAGTGGCTAGTGCACTCTGTCCATTTATAGATGACTAGTTTGAATTTTCAAAAATTCAAAAACTCTTTTGTTAGCGATTATCTACATATGTTATTAATTAAATGAAACCAAAACATCATCCCTTTTGTTCCGGTTTAGCTTGGACCTTGTGCATCAATCAGGATAAGCGATTTTTTAGATTACATAAATAACTATTTCTAAAATATAAATACTTCTATTAAGTAATCTACAAATATTCACGGTGTTTCT